CAGGTAACATCTCATATTCTCTAGTCATTTGTCTTGCTTTAGTCTTATTCTGCTACAGTCTGATAGTTTCACAGATTATTAACTTGCTCTATTTGGTAGAGTTAACCTTTAGTTTTAGACTCCCGACATGATTGACGTTTAGATTTTGAAGCTTTTCTGAAATTGCATAAACATGATGGATGTTGTTTAGATGTCTATACACAGCGTCTGAGCAGCAACATGTAGCAGTAAAGGTAACATCTCCCAGCCAATCTGGTGGCTCTAACTGTTAGAAGCTGACTTTAAGTTGGAACATCAGCTCATTTCACTGTTACTCTTCTTCTCTGCTCGCGTAGTACTTTGTGATGATGCAGTACTACTACTAGTTCTGTTAAATGATGCAATAATACTACTAGTTCTGTTAAATGATGCAGTACTACTAGTACTGTTAAATGATGCAGTACTCTAGTGTACTACTAGTACTGTTAAATGATGCAGTACTACTACTAGTTCTGTTAAATGATGCAGTACTACTACTTTGTTACTACTGTACAAAGTCACATGAATCTGAACACTGGTTAGACAGTAATACGTTGCACTAAATCTGATGATGCTCATTTTCCAATCTACCGATACAGTTGTACTTGTAGCCGCACTAAAGTGTAGTACTACTAGTACTGTAGTAGTAGACAGCTTGAATTGATCCTTCTGCCCACTTTCCAACTCCATATCGTTCATTATTGCAGACTATTTGACCTCTCCTCAATAGCTAACCTACAATAGAGCTACTCCTCAAAAGAACTCCTCCCTTTACCCTTTCATTATTTCTTCTGTATTTTCCTTCTCCTAATCACCGGATAGTAGTAAAGTATCCAATCCGACCTTTTTGTTTTGCGGTTTAGGGATTGTAGAAGATGGGCGAATCATTAAAAGAACATCAGTGAAAATGTCGAGCATAATACAGTTCGTGTTATGCCTGTGTCTGGGTGTATTAATGTGTGTACACAGTGATCCGTCAAATTAGCATTTATTACATTATTAACTACATGAGGCAGGAACACTTCCTCCCTCAAAGGAAAAACCTCTACAATATGTAGTGTACACTGTGGGCCTACAGTAGTGAGTCACTACACTAACACAGCTATAACATTCCTCAATTCTAGTTTATAAATAGTACTCTCCTATGAAAGCCGCCCTTTTGAAACTTGAACCAGCAGAGGCACATATTAGGTGCGATGGTTGCGGGATCGCACAATTTACCGTTTTCCGCACATTTCCGCATAATTTATTGTTTTCCGCACATTTCCGCATAATTTATTGTTTTCCGCACATTTCCGCATAATTTATTGTTTTCCGCACATTTCCGCATAATTTATTGTTTTCCGCACATTTTGTCATTTTCTGCATATTTCAGCATAATCTAGCATTTTCCGCGTAATTTAGCATAATTTTGAAATTTTCGCGTTGAGATTTTAGAGTGTAAAAACCAAAATATGTTAAAAGTGGGGCCCTTTTAGGACCGTGACTCAGGCCCTTTCGGGACCCTGACCCAGGCCCTTTCGGGACCGTGACCCAGGCCCTTCTGGAACTTATACCTAGGCCACGTGACCCAGTTACCACGTGACCCAGGCCCTTTCGGGACCCTGACCCAGGCCCTTTCGGGACCGTGAGCCAGGCCCTTTCGGGACCGTGACCCAGGCCCTTTTGGAACTCATGCCTAGGCCACGTGACCCGGTTACCACGTGACCCAGGCCCTTTCGGGACCGTGACCCAGGTCCTTTCGGGACCGTTACCCAGGCCCTTTCGGGACCGTGACCCAGGCCCTTTCGGGACCGTGACCCAGGCCCTTTTGGGACCGTGACCCAGGCCCTTTCGGGACCGTGACCCAGGCTGTTCTCAGATAACTAAATCTCAATATAGGTTCAATCATGGTCTTAGTGAAGAACTATACCCTCAGTAACACATAAACAGACCTATTTTTGATAAGAGCGGCGGTTTAGAATTTACGTTTAGAATTTCCAAAGTCCTTGAGAAAATGCAAAAGAAAACCGCACAATTCCCGCACAAATTTCGAAAAAATCGCCGCACATTTGCCGCATAATTGGTAAAAATTTACCGCACCTTACCGCACATTTTACCTTTATAGTCGGGTGCGGTACCGCATAATTTCGATTTTTTTACCGCACCTAATATGTGCCTCTGTGAACCAGCGACCGTTAACTGATTTCCACTTAGATTCAGTGATTGATTATCGTAGTTCATTAGCTTATATATGTAGCATTTTAATGCTGTTTACGAATGTAGCGCGGTGTAGCGAGGTAGGTTATAGTGGTAAAGGTAATGTACACTAGTGTAAGTAGATTCCTCTACTTGTTTGCTGTATTGTTTACAAGTGACCACCACATATTATATACTTCACTATTAGTTAGCACAGTCCCCCCGGCAAACCTCCCCCCACCCCATGTCCACCACATTGCTTAAAGAGAATCGTGTGTCTGTATTTCAAGAATGTGGTTAAAGTCAAAAAATGTGCGCCCATTCATTGTCGGCTACTGCTATTTTGCGCTTTTGTTCATTCTTCGTTTTATTCTCCATTGTTCTCGATCGCTTATACATTGTTGGCTGTTTAAAAACTGCGTGCTAAAAACATAGGCTCTCATCGAGGTAGTCTATACTGTAATTATATGGACCAATCTTTGTGCATCATTGTTAGAAAATATGTATTTAAACAATAGGATCGCAAGTTATCGTTTATTGTGTTCACATTTTCTCGCGTATTTCTGTGGTCAAAAATATCCTCAGATTAAGATAGTTTCCTGCTTACCACATAGTTCTAATGTACCGTCACAATAAGTGACTTTAATATACCGTCATAAATCCGGATTGTTGCTAAAAGGTAGTGTTACAGTGACCGGTCTCAATAAGTAGTGTAAAAGTACTGTAAACTTACTGTAATTATCTGCAGACTGACCAGACTGCCACATCATTACCGTAATTACACTGTTCCGCGGACATTTCAACTACTATAGTCTATACAACCTACTATACAACTACTATACAACTACTATACTACTACTATACTACTACTATACACTATACAGTATACTAATACTGTACTACTACTGTACAGTTACAATTGACATGCCATACCAGGCTTCTTTATACTTAGCTTTCTATTGTTAGTGCAGCATGCTGGTCACACGAGTTGTTTCTATTTTCTTCTGAACCCCGACTAACTACAATACGGATTCTGTGATATTTGTTGGGTTTATTTCCATACTTTCTAGGGCGTTTTCTCCTCAACCGTATGTTAAGAAAGTCAGAATGATTTCATGTTGTAGTACATTGTGTATTTGTTATAGTAGCAGATACAAGGTAATGTTAATTAATCCTATCATCACAATATGTTTTATTAGGCCGGTGAGAGCTGACAACACCAGGACACAGACCACAGTTCTCACTTTCATCCAATTTGCGGGGTTCTTTATTCTTAAACCTACCTGAAGGGGATGGTGGGTTCTTTATTCTTAAACCTACCTGAGGGGGATGGTGGGGGGGGGCTGGTGGGTTCTTTATTCTTAAACCTACCTGAGGGGGATGGTGGGGGGGGGGGGGGCTGGTGGGTTTCTTTATTCTTAAACTGGAACTACCTGTATTGCTGCTACTCAACATTGTGGGTGGGGGTGGGGGTGGGAGTTGTTTTGATACTGCAACAAACATCACCTTAGTGTTTTGGCGTGCTCGTTTGAAAAAAATATCTGATATTGTTATTTGCTTCTCTAGAAGACTGTTGTTGTGACACACCATTATTTCACTTGTTGTTATTCTCTTAGTAACAGTGTGTATATATTATGCACTTATTTTAATAAGTAACACATCACGCTATGTACTAATGATGCTCGTAGGACTATTGTCAACCATTCGTCTCATTTCTGAAACGAAATGTTAATCTCAAGGACATTGTATTATTCTCATTTCTACTTCTGAGCAGTTCTACGTGGGTGCAATATTGTATACTATACATTATACATATTACTGTGTGATCCTGTGTATTATACATTTTTGACATGCCTTCTGGTACGATATTATATACTTATTACCGTGAGCTTGCAGTCTTCGTGTTTTATACGGGGTATTAATAATTGCACTGACACAGTACAGGGTGTCATATATCAGTCTTATCAAATACCCTGCTCGGCAAACGTGCTGAATTACACCTCTCTGCACTGGTAGCTCATTTGAAGTCCTGTTTAGTTGTATTTTCTGTTTAATACCTTATATTTTCTGTTTAGTTGTATTTTCTGTTTAGTTGTAGTTTCTGTTTAATACCTTATATTTTCAATTCAGCAGTATTTTCTGTTTAATACCTTATATTTTCTGTTTAGTTGTATTATCTGTTTAGTTGTATTTTCTGTTTAGTACCTGATATTTTCAGTTCAGTAGTATTTTCTGTTTAATACCTTATTTTTTCAGTTCAGTAGTATATTCTTATTATTTGATTTTAATGTACACTTAAAACTACACTGCACTGTAGTTTCACCTCTTTAATGGTGTGTATAATAATACAACTCTTATACCTGTGAAGCCGATTATTAGATAATTACTGGCTAATTAGCTAATAGCTCAGCACTCTACCAATACATACCGAGAAATAACGCTTCCTGCTTACCAATACCACTCTTTAGCTGGCATTCTGCCAGATCTGCCTACTGCTCTTCTACAGGAACATTTCATGTCTAATTTTATTTCCTTTCTAAATTGTTCACATACATTATTTTTTAAATCGTTTCCGCGTCTATCACAAGGAATAATATATTCCCTTAGTTCTGTTTTCGTTCCTGAAATGATTTTATAATAAGTTCATTCTCTTTGATACCACTGCTAAATACTGTTTAAAATGATAAGGCAACTCACCTGCAAACAGATATAAATTGTTGAACTATAAAATTGTTTTATTATTTTTGTGTAATGTGTGTAATGTGTGTAATTGCGTCCTGAGAAAAACTGAAACCCTTCCTATCATTCAGCGATAAGTATTATGGGCAATGTTTCGCTACACGGTTATAGACGTTGGAGGTGACCTTGTAGTGTTTAACAAAGAAGATGGAGGCTTAGCTCAGAACAGACGGGACTCATGGCCACCAAGGTTCCCTACAGGTGAGAAGTTGTTACAGTTACTGTTGTTACAGTTACTGTTGTTACAGTTACTGTTGTTACAGTTACTGTTGTTACAGTTACTGTTGTTACAGTTACTGTTGTTACAGTTACTGTTGTTACAGTTACTGTTGTTACAGTTACTGTTGTTACAGTTAGTGTTGTTACAGTCAGTGTTGTTACAGTTACTGTTGTTACAGCTACTGTTGTTACAGTTAGTGTTGTTACAGTTACTGTTGTTACAGTTACTGTTGTTACAGTTACTCTTGTTACAGTTACTGTTGTTACAGTTAGTGTTGGTACAGTTACTGTTGTTACAGTTAGTGTTGTTACAGTTAGTGTTGTTACAGTTACTGTTGTTACAGTTAGTGTTGTTACAGTTACTGTTGTTACAGTTAGTGTTGTTACAGTTACTGTTGTTACAGTTACTGTTGTTACAGTTACTGTTGTTACAGTAAGTGTTGTTACAGTTACTGTTGTTACAGTTACTATTGTTACAGTTACTGTTGTTACAGTTACTGTTTTTACAGTTACTGTTGTTACAGTTACTGTTGTTACAGTTACTGTTGTCACAGTTACATTTTACCACACTTTGCAGAAGAAGAAGTGAAGTTTGAGAGAGTACGATTAAAAACAGAGCGGTTACAGAGACAGGCCAGATTAGAGGAAGATGTTAGGAGAAAGAGAGTTAAAACTATAAACGCTATCGAGTACAGCAGAGAAGAGGAGGATAAATACAGCCAGGACAAAACTGAGGATCAGGGAAATGAGGTGAAATTAAACACTTAACTTTAACATCTTTATAAGTGCTGTCAGTACTACCATTGTCCAATTTGCATGATTTTGTACCAAAACTCTCGTATAACAATTAACATGAAACCTTTTCAGCAGAGCTCCGAGGATAGCGGGATAGTGAGTTTTAGAGATGAGGAACACTCAGCACTAACAGATAACCTCACTCTCAACAGCAACCTAGATACCACAGCTGAAGAGGAACCAGTCCAGAATACAGAGGAACTGAAACTGGACGTTGAGCCATCTCCAAGGTATGTAGGCTCCCCAACCTCCTACCTTAGCGTATTATCATGTTTTGACGGGAGAACAAATGTTATCGGGCTCGTTTGAATTATCGAGTTTATAAATGAGAGCTTTTACGTTGCCAGGAATATAAGCTTCATATATATTATTATTATAACTAACAATAAATACACTGTGATATCACACTAAGACACCGTGAAAGTATAGTATTATGTATAGTATTATGTATAGTATTATGTATAGTACTATGTATACTCTATACATTGTATAGTATTATGTATATTGTACATTGTACCTAGCATCTTAACAAAAACTATTACTCAGGCCTTCCAGAGCCCCATCAGTCTCTAAAACCCGCTCAGTCAGTGTCAAGTCCTTCAGGACACAAGACGCAATACCTACTGATAATGTGGCTGATGATCCAGGAGACAAGCCGTATATTGTGGCTCCCGGGAGAAAGAGAGCTACTAAAACTGATAAGAAAAAGGACTCAGCTTGCTGCACAATTCTCTGAAAATGCTTTGGATGGATGGCCAGTAGCCGTGAGCTTGATTTTTGTCAAATTTTATCATATTATGCTCGAGGACAGTTTGCAGTTTTACAATACATTAGAGTCTGATAACGGGCGCACTCAAAATAAGACTTGTATAAAATCAGAATAAGATCAACCTAAAAGAGAACGATATTTATTGAGCCACTACTAAGTGAAAACCAGGAGGTTTGCAATGGAGCATGATTCTGTAATTAGTGATTTGCTTCGAGTTAATTTAATAGTGATCAATAGGTTTGCAGACCCCGCTTTCGCCAATGTTGGTTTGGCGAATGTAGTTATTATAGTTGTCGTTGAAAAAAGTACTCAACTTGTATTGAGGAAATGAGTTACCTAATTTATTGTTTTTGACACATTTTAAATACGTTTAAACATTTCTACCTATTAATAAATTATAACGATGTTTTAATTCTAGCGTACGACTTGACCAAATCAAAACTTCCAAATTGAGAAAATATATCAAAGAACTACAGTGTAATAACTACAGCGTATAATATATCTTCTAAACATTTCAAATTTGAACCAAAACACCACAAAGATAATTCACAAGAAGATTTTATCGACTGTTGCAATATAAGATCGAAATTGCGAAAAACCTAAAAATAGATACAAACGTTGACAATTCTAAATTCCACGAAACGTCAAAATAACACGTCGTGCGCGAAACATTAGTCATTCAATCGATCAGGAAACTAGAATATAAAACAGTTACTGCGCGTCACGTTGATAACTGTCTTGAATTGTGACCGATGTGGCAAGATAACAAACATTGTACATTCCAACATTAGAATGATACATGCGGTGTATAATCAGCTAATCACAAAATATAAAACGTGTTACTATACAATACACATCTCAAATGTCCTGTTCAATGGCGTCCAGCGCCAAATTGTCTCTTTTTATCTGAAATCTTCCTATGACCTGAGAGATTTATAGGTCATAAAATGCGAAAAATTTAACATTAAAAACATTAAACTGAACTCAAAATATAAATGCAAACTGTAATGTGTGAGTAGTATTAGAACAGTTTTAACCTACGGTGAGTTCTGAGCTCTGTAGTACATGACGATAGCTCCGTTAATTTCAGGTCCAATAAGAGGGTTAATTTGGGCAGCGTAAGTGCAGAACCACCTGGGGAAGTGTGTAATGGAAAATAGTTATTACAACTTGTTATCTAACCACAGATCAAATAGTGAGATTGAACGAGATGAAAACGACAACGAAGAAATACATTGTTTTACCAGGAAGGAAAAACCGATTTATAAAAGGTTTTCAACTTACGACAACCAGCAACAGAAGGCAGTGAGAAAAGACATCACCCATATTAGCCTGAAACAGAGCCATTAAAAAGATCAGATAATTATAGTTTTTTTATCTCAACTCTTATTTTACTTCGGTCATTCCAACAGCCACATTGTTACACAAGTGTGTAACCAGCCAATTACAGGAAGCCGAAGGATTCAATTATACATTAGGCCAGTGACGGTTAAGGTAGTGTGTACCATACTTTCTTCGCCCGAGACTTTGCTGCAATGGGCAGCTCCTCATTTAACCCTCACACCCGATTTCTCGAGTATTTGGCTGAGTGGACCGGGGGGCTGCATAGACCACTCAGGATCCTTAGCTGAGCGTCGACGACGCTCACCCCACGGCTAGTGGCAGAGTCGGGAATCGAACCTGGTACCTCAAGCAATACCAGGCCCGGATTAACCAACTGAGCCACTAAGCCGAAAGTTCATCTCATAAATTGATATATCTCCGAAAATTTCAAGTTAAATCATCTGATAATAATAGTTTTAAAATACTTACTGCAAGTGTAAAAATACTTAGATACTTACTGAGTGTAAAATACTTACTGAGTGTTTAAAATACTTACTGAGTGTAAAATTACTTACTGAGTGTTTTCTTTGCTTATTCTGGCAGCACTAAAGAAGCCAATAAGAGCAAAGGCAACCCAGAACAATGTACCAATTGTGATAGCAACTGGAGGAGATAACGCCATCCTGAGAAAATACAGATAGAAAACAAACGAATCATTCAATTTGTTCTTTAGTTGAAATTATTAAAGATTGGTTATGGAAAGGGGAAATTATCAAAGATTGGTTGTAGAAAGGGGAAATTATTGAAGATTGGTGGTAGAAAGGGTAAACCAGCGACTGATCTATCATATTATAATTATATTAAATAGTTACAAATTACGATAAGATACGTATTAAAACTCATGCTACATTCTAAAGATCTGATTTTCCTGACAAATTGAATTTATATGAACATTTCAATCGCCAAGAGAATTATTTTAATATTTGATAGTGTTATACACTGAGTGGAGACTCTCACTTCGTCCCCAACTATCAAAAATGTTGACATCTTCGACCCATTTACTTGCTGTATTATTAAAAGAAATTCAAATAATTAATACCAAAAATGTTGACATCTTTTTACAAATTTAACCATATAATTCTAATATTAACAAAGTTCAAAAGTTTTAAAATTCAACTATTTTACGTAATAAGTTCAATATTATCCTCACATTTCTGTTTCCCCTTTTTAATACCAAACAGTTTCTCACAATCTTCTAAGCTATTAGGTAGTGGTTTACCGAGAGTCTCAGGAATCCGCCGCAGAAGTTTCATTGAAACGAGTAGACTAGCCACGATGAACACATATATGATATAAGGGCTCACCTCGTTAACGAGAATAACAAAAGGAGCGAGCAGTGAGCCGATACGAGCAGCTGTTGAGCAACAAGAGAGACCGAGTGAGCGGACCAGTGTAGGGAGAACCTCAGTGGTGTAAAGGTAAAGAAGCGCAAATACAGACCCACCCAGCGCACGACCACACGACACTAACACGGTCTTTACAGTAAAGTTGCCGTAAACAGTAAGGTTATCTACCAGAGGAACTCCACTGAGGATCAAACATAGCAACGCCCCTCCTAAATAAACTTGACACGCATACTTCCTACCTAGACGTCCTGCAAAAACATACATGGATAGTTTGAAGGGGGTATCAAAACATCCCATCAGTATCATAATGACATATTCGTTACCCAAGCTGGCAGCATTGAACTCGAGACCGTAGTAACAGATTGCAACTGTGAACCAACCAAAAGCCAGACAAGCCATGGACTCTCGTAAGAATGGCACACACCACAAAATACCGAACCCTTGAGATTTCTTTGAAGTGGTCACTTCACCAGTAGCACTTACAAGTTCAATATTATGAAGAGCAGGTGCTCCGTTAAACTTGGCAACTTTGTTAAGGGAAGCAATAGCCCTGGCTTCGTAACCTCTGGCAAAGAGCCAGTGAGGGGTTTCAGGGACAATGAAGTGGAAGAGAACGCCGATAGTAAAGAAGCCGATAAGAGGAGGAATAACTGTTAAGACCCAGTGAGAAGCCCACATAGCTACTAAACCAGCCAACCCTCCACCAAGAGAGAATGCAGCTGAGGATATCATCATGTTTAATGTTGCTGTGTCTGCAGTAGTGAACTCGTAGAAAGCTACAGATGATGAAACTGAGAGGCCTCCATGAACTGCACCCAGTAGAATCCTACAGATAAATATCTGATAGAGGTGACCACTAAAACCTAACAGAATGAGTAAGAGAATATACAGCACAATAAATAACTCAGAAGATAGTTTCCTCCCCAGTTTATCTGTTATCGCACTAAAAGGACCTACTGCTACAAAGAAACCCACGAAATATAAAGTAGTACCCATACTGATTAGCCACATTCTGTCACAGTACAAATTGTACTCAGTCAAGATGTTGCTGTGTCCTTCTGTGAAGTCCCAATCTATGTGACGTTGTGTGTTACACATGACCTTGTACTCTGGTTCAGGTTCCCCAGAAGTCAGCAGAGCTTCACAATCTGGTCTTAAACACACAACCTGGAAATATGAAATATAATCTGGCTGCACTAATAAAACTGGATACACTAACTAAACAGCAATGTTCGATAAAATAAGAGCATTTTATTTCATAATGTATTATGAGGATGTAATAAGTAAGTTACACGTACTGAGGGAGCAACAGTTAAACTCTGGAAATGGAATGTAATGTAGCCGCAGAAAAGGGATGAGATAATGGAAAACAGGGACAAGAATATTTGGAAGCGGCCAGTGGAACCAATGTCTTCTATACATCTCAAAATCGTCCTTTCACGCGGTTTCATATCTTGAGCTATCTGACAAACACTATAATCCTGTACCACTACTCTTTTTTGATGACAACATATACTCCTTCTCAAACATCATTGTTTTCTGGAAACTATAAGGAGGGATTGTGGTTAAAAACCTCGCCAACATCTGTATACTGTATACTGTATACTCAGTATACAGATATTGGCGAGGTTTTTACTGTACTGTATACTGATATTCATGCTCAAATATATTAAAATATGGTCACTAAATCATAAATAAAAAACAATGTTAACACATTATATATTATACATGAACATCAAGGAATTCAAAAACGTAGCAAGTTGAATCATATACAGTAAAACATTTCTCTGGAGTCAGAAGGGAAATGAAAAGTAACAAAAAGTTCAATTTAAAATAATATTACTACTTATCCAATAATCGTGGCATGCATCCGGTAAATTAAAATGATTAATCCTATACAGCATAAAATAAACATTTGGTCAAATAATATTTTACAACAGTGTTAACATAACAATCAAATAAGTGAAAAATCAAATAAAATTAAATACTTAGCTCTTTAGATAAGTCAAAGATCAAGAATGATGATTTACAGCAGAGTCTCAAATCTAAATCAGTCATCATCTGAATTGTACGTAAGAAGAGTTTCCATCTCCAGCTCATCAGTAAGATTATAATCTCTTTTAGAAAACAAAGTCTCACACTCTGTCAGGTTATTAGGAAGGGGATTGTTCCTAGTGTCAGGGACCCGCTGCACTACCACAACTGAACCAACAGCCAGTAAAACTAAGAGTATTTGGTGTGATGTCGACATGATGGTGTCGAGTGTGGCAATGAAAGGAAATAGAAGAGAGCTGGATGATCCTGCCATGAGGCACAGAGACAGACCAGAGCATCTTGATAAGGTGGGTAACAGTTCACATGTGTACACAGTAAGTAGAGGAAGTAGACTACCTGCACAGCTCTTAGCTATTGTCAGAACAACTGCTTTAGTGGATACGGTTCCTAGAGATAAGGTATTGTCCAATATAGAAGTAGGGACACAGCCAAAGGACATAACTATTGCAAGCAAGGCAAAAAAAATTGATGCTGCTTTTTTCCTTCCTAAATTCTGTACTGTAAAAAACATCACAACTTGTAGTGGAACCTCACTTATTCCTACCACCATCATTTCAAAGTACTCATTACTATCTACCATAAACTTGATATCGTTGTCTAATATAAAGTAGCAACTGAAAGCTGTGAACCAGCAAAGAGCTAAGCACAAGAGAGGGAGCCTCATAAACAAGATTTTAAGTGTCACAGAAATAGTGGCTGTTGCGTAATGATCCTCTTTAACCCGGTGATGGTTAACTAATGAAACATCTTTCAACAATAGCGACCTGTTTACTATAGCAACTTCATTTAAAGAAACTAATGCCTGTAGTTCTTTTCCATTAGCATAAAACCAAAATGGGGTCTCTGGCATCACAACATAGCACAAGGCCAAAGCAGCAATCACTATGCAGATTGGAACATCAAAGGTATTTTGCCATTGATCATCATCATAGGCCATATAACTGACTATTGTTTTACCAATGCTGAAGGCTATTGATCCCAAAATGCTACAGATCCACAAGTTTTTCTGTGTATTGAATTCTGCCAAAGTCACTAGAAGAGAAACAGAAAGGCATGAATGCATACCCCCAGCAATTAATCTGAGCAAAAATATTTTGTCTAATTGCACAGCATATTTTAGCATGAGCAACAACCCAAGAAAAGTTACAAAGCAACATATTGAAATCAGGCAACGTCCATATCTGTCACAAGAATAACCAATTAATAAAGCAGATACAAAGAAACCTAAAAAATAGACTGAAGTTTCCAAGTCGATGAGATAATTTTTATCACAGATCAAACTAAAATCAGTCAGCCAGTTTGATTTGGTTTCACTAAACTCCCACTCATCTTTCTTCATCTCACATATTTTTTCTAGACTCTTTTTCGAGTTTGATGATAAAACCAGTTCACAGTTACTGCTGAGGCAATCCACTGCTTGCATGACTGAAAGGCTATGAAACTGATTGGTCATGATCCCTGTCAAACAGCTAGATAGCATAAACAAGATCAATAGTATCATTTGGAATCTGTTGAATAATCCGGTGGAAATAATGCCATCAGATATGGTTATTTGTTTGCTTTTTCTGGTTGCTGTAATCATGGTTATATCATACAGGAAATTACCTCTAATCTGAAATGAAATAAAATTTATAACTGAAAGAATCATTTAACGTACATCATCAATCAAATTATATGAAATGTGTGGACCAAATTGACTCAAATCCTTGAAATGATTATGTTTGACAGCGTTCACATATTACAACAGCAATTTTTGATTTGGCACAAGTCATTCTCGATATGTACCCCTAAAGAGATTAGAGAAGGGTAGGTATAGACTTCGAAAAGTCGACAAATATTTTCGGCTCATAATGATTTAGGCTACCTTGAAACGTGGTTTCTGGAAAAACTCTGAAAAATTGTTGACTTAGAAACGTTTAGAGTTATTCTTGGTATGTACCTCTGAAGGCAAAGCTCCTGCTTTCGAGCTCATATTACAAAAATTTCAAAATATTGGTAGCAATGTATTGTGCTCTGCCAATTGCAACACTAAAAAATTTGATTGTGCACTGCCAATTGCATCACTTGATTTAATTGAATGTACACATTGTGTTAAATGACCTTTTGGAGTTATTACAGTGGACAAATCTGACTTCTGAGACCGCATTACAAGAGTGTAGCCTCTAGTCCAAAATCGTACTAAGATGGGTAGGTGCGGAAATTTCGAAAAACCAAAAAATATTTTCGGTTAGAGTCATTTTTCATATTTATCTCTGTATGCTGTAGGTAGAAACAGTTCCATCTCCAGAAAGTTAAGAATTTGCTAGGAATCTAAAATTTGTTGCCAAAAAAGTATAATTTATGCTGAAAACCAAGCCATTATGAATGTTATCATGATTTGGTATGGGATGTTTTAAAGAAATTGTAAGACTTTCTTCGAAATAATAATTGTTTCAGGGTAAGCTCCAAAGCGTTTGAAAAGTATAATTTACAACGTAACCATGCATTTAGTTTTCATACAATAATTAAGTAAATAATTGCTGTGTTGTAGAAGCTCTAAGCTTTTAAGGTAATTAATGGTTTGACTGATTATGATCCAGACTTGTTCAGACCAAGCAAATCAAGTCTTAATCTGGTTTCATCCAATAGATGTAGTCAAAGTGTGACAAAGGTCAAAAATCTTCAGTGTTCTTTTCTTCCAGAGCGAGTTGTTCCTTATTGGAACAAACTCCCTTCGGAGTTATAGAACTGCTCGACAGTTTTGAGTTTCAAAATTAAATTGGAAAGTTTTTTAAAAAATTTGACACACGCTGCAACCCCTTTTGATCGCGCGCGAAGCTCGCGCGGCCGGCCGAGAGGTATACAACGTGTAGCAAAAAAGAATATGATTTTTAAATGTATTGTAAATGACAAATTAATTTTGCTCTGATTAGAGCAATCTACGGATAAAATTGCAAAAAAAACTATGTTTTTAAAACTTTTTGGCAAATTAGTTTTGCTGGCATATCAGCAAAATTTGCATGAAGCTAGCTAAAACATAGCCGTTACTTACTTGTGCAGAAACTAGCGCGCCCGTAGTGGCGCGAAAGTCAAGGCCAAGGAACTATTTTTAAATGTAACCAAAATTTTGGGTGCGCCGCGCATATTTTCGACAATTTAAACCGTAGTATGAAAATCAAGAAAATACCAATTTCAAGAAAACGCTAAAGCAGCTCAGTTACTGTCATATTTTCACAACATTACCTTGGTAGTTTTTAGTTTTATTATAATATTCATGTAGCCTTTCATAATTCTTCTTCCGTATATTTGACTATCATTTGTATGTGTAATTTATTATTAACTATGTTTTCTTGTATTCTCATTTATGTGAAGTATTAGTTAATACTAGTTCCCGTCGTTTTTTATCATATGCTATATCCTCAAAAGTCGACTCTGTGTGACAAAGTCTTTTACAAAATTTATCGCAATTGATTAATACTGAATTGGTTGGTACTGAATTGGTTTAAATGGATCCTTTACGGTTACACTGTTAGAAATGTAAGATTTGACAAACATAGAGAAACAAAAATATTTAAATGGGTTTGTTGATTAAATGGTTGAATAGGGCTTTGACCTGATCTGATATGAGGGACAGAAAGATAGTGATTTCTCTCCGTGGAGACAGAGGTGCGAGAAAAAACATTGTTAATATAAACAGTCTAGATCTTAACTTGGAGCCACAAGGCCAAGGGTAATTTTTGAGTGTTTAGGGAATTTTGTATATTCTTAAAGGTTTGTTTTTATATAGGGTCATTGCTATATTATGTGTATATTGTTTGAATAATTTTAAAATGGGACAGAAAGATTTCATAATTTGATGATCATCAGCATAGTACATAACCAATAATAGAAAAACCAGATTCTTTGGTAAATCTGTACCACAATTTGATATAGATATTGAAAAGATCCGGATCTAAAACTGGGCACTGAGGTCTCAGAAGCTGATTTAACCAGTCTAATACCAAAGAAGCTGGTAAAATAGAGCAGTTTCTCTGATTCCTATTTCTTGCTTCAAGATACGGAGCAACAAGTTATGAATTACCTGAGGACCCCAGGCTATTATGTTCATTAACATAATAAAGATTTGGCGGAATGACAGGCTGAGCGCGGCCCAGTAAGTTATGAATTATGATATACAGAATCAAAGGCTGCACTCAGGTCTGCAAGCAGTATTTTATTTGGTTTAAAGGTCCTGCTAGTAATATATAAAATATATTTTTGTTTGCTTTAATTGATATTAAATAAAATGGTTGTTTTCTTGAAATTGTTGTTTTCTTGATCACCTATTATCAAGACATCATTTACTGTTTAAGTAAACAGCTTCTTTGATGAAGTTTGAAACATTATTTTAACCAAGATTTTGCTAGGAACCTGGTTCCTGGATTTTCGACTTTCTAACCCTTGTAGGTTTACAACCTACCAGGACGCGCGTCGAGTTGGACTCGTCGACCAATATATGGAACAGATATTTTACGAGTATCACCCGTTAATTTAACCCTAACCCTAACCCTAACCCGTGTCTATAACAACGTTTTCCTCTGTACCCTTCAATCCCTGATGCAAGACAGCCCCGTGACTCAGAGGACGCCCTAAAATTATTATCTGGTGGCTGGTGCTTCAAAATAGAAATAGTGATTAGTAATGGTATTCGGAAATATCTAACCGCAATATAAACCTCTATTCATTCAAACATTCGAATGTAAGCGCACGCCGCACGCATGATCTTTGTGAAATTTTGTTTTGTAGGGTGTCCAATCCTCGTTTGGACAACTTAGACGCGCAGTTTTAACACATAGTTAATTGTAAACGGTACAAATCACATCAAGCGCATCCACTACAGGTTATCTATATGATTTGGTTGTCCAGGACACCTTGCAATCTGAACTGTTATGATACTGCGCGGCTGAGATCGTACACATGTGTGTCCTGTTTCACTCATGTTATAAGTTTTTGTTTTTGTTTATTTCCTGTTGCCTGTGACACATAACATATATGAGGCACTGTGGCCTGTGTGTAACTGTAATGTCCGTTGGAATAATTTAATTAATTAATTAACTCTCTGCTATGGTAATGGTATTGTATGCAGTCATCAGTGAATAGACATCGGCAGTTTAGGGAGGGGAGGGGGGAGCTTGGGGCGGCCCCCGAGCCCCCCACACCCAACAAAACTGCCAGCCAGCTAGAGCTCCCACGAGCCGCCTCTGCCGTGACTGATTGTCTTGTTAGCCTAAAAAGGCTCTGAAGATTAGTCATCAATTAAATTAGGGAGGACCCTGGATTTCTCCATGCCAGTTGAAAGTTAAACTGCACCATTTTATATTTGGTATTTAAGTCCAGTGCCACTAGTTTGCGTTAAGTCAGGGTTTTGCCTGTATACTTTCTTTAGAATATTGCCATATATAAAATAGCAGTAGTCTTGGTTAAGTTAAGCAGAGGTACAGAATTAAAATGTCACTTAGTCTAGGAATTTTTAGATGTAGATGTTTGTATAGTTCTACTGTTCTATATCTTTCAGAGCTGGTGGAATGCGCCATTGGTACACTGGATCCTGATGTTAAGATCTCAATTGATGGTACCCTCCCCACTAATGTGTCTCTAGAGCAAAAAAAACAAGATTGTCCCATATTTAATGCACAATTATTGGCAATTTAAGGTCAGCGGGGCCCTTGATTATGCCACTGGTTAAATGGGAGAGGCCCTTCTGCACACATATGCTAGATTGACTCTAATCCATATAAGTAAAACAAAATCAATACATATTTAATAATATTATACATTTAAAATAAATTTAAATTTAAATTCAGCTATTTACACAATACGCAGCCCGCCGCGCAGACAGCCACACATTGCTGAGAGATTCTCAGGTGCAGATGTAAGCGCCGCGCGCGCAGGGTATGTTATCTTACAATCACAGTGCTGGCAAGCACGACCGTTGCATTTATTGTGGGTATACTATGTACCCCGGCCCCCTTTACTATTATACCCCCCTTTACTATTATACCCCCTTTACTATTATATATATAAGTTCATTTACGATTTAACTTCCCACTCCAGATCCACTAGACTGGACCGGGACTTCTGCTAAACTTTATTTGTCAGAAGAACTTTTTTGCTATTTCTGTTATCCAGTGTTAAGTTGAGTGTAATCATAACATATGATTAACGTTTGCTCACTGACTTCAAATCATACAGGCCCCTTTATGATTTGAAGTTAGTGAACTAAAACGAAACGAAAACGTTTTTCGTTATATACCCCAAAATCAATCCAGTCCTGACTCCTGATCCTCCCCCTCATTTTTTGCCTATCAATTACCATTTTGTTTCCTATTATGCTGTCTACCCTTTACAGTTTACATGTGCAATGTGTAATTTCTGTAACATCAACTTCTAATCAGAATTTTCAGAGAAATAGCATGAGATAAATTTCATATGTTTGTCCTTCTACAGTTTTTTAGACAGACATCGGGAGGACATATATCAGCAATTAGACAATCAAAACTTGGTGCCAGAATGCTCTCTTCTTCTAAGCAAGACTATCTTACGCTAGAAAATTTGAAAAATGACACAAAAATGTGTCAAACGTCAATGGAATCTGGCAAATATGTGATACTACATGACAGAAAATACCTTGTTCATCAGGAACGTAGCAATAGAAAATCCAAGCTGGTCATTTCAAGTCTTGACGAACTGAAAGATTCAAACATCACCAATTCAGTTCTCTTGGGTGTCTCTAACAATGAAGCTTTCTTTGCAGTGTCTGTTGACGATGCAACTTCTTTTATTGAAAATGGGAAGCAGCTGATAGAACCCAGACCAGCTTTATTTGTATTATCTGAAAAAGACCAAGGTATCGCCACCATGGGACTTAACCTGCTTCAGTGGCAAACAGATAACAAATACTGCAGTAAATGTAAAACAGAACTAGTTTATCATGTTTCTGGCAGGTCATGTCGGTGTAGTAATTGTAACGTGAATTACTTTCCGCGCTATAATCCGGTTGTAATAATGCTGGTTGTTTGTGGAGAATATTGTCTGCTTGGACGGAACAAACAGTTTCCTTCTCGTATGTTCAGTGCACTGGCAGGCTTTATTGACGTGGGTGAGCATATAGAAGAAGCAGTGGTCCGTGAAGTGAATGAAGAAGTAAGTGTTGATGTTGACATTTCTAGAGTTCATTACGTAAAATCAGATTTTTGGGGTGGTTTCAGAAGGAACTATAGTCCTGAGCTAATGATAGGTTGTATTGCTACAATTGGGGAGATGCAAGAACCAGTGTGTAGCGAGGAAATAGCTGAAGCAAAGTGGTTTCACAAAGAGGAAATTAGTGAGGCTTTGGAAAAGTCGAAGAATCCTGACAATCATTTGCGAGGGGAGGGTTTAATGCTACCTCCACCTTTTGCTACTGCTCATAAGTTGGCTGCAAGATGGTGCGATCAATAGTTTCATTATATTAATTTATTAAGGTCCCCTAAAGACCACCAGCAAACTTGACATCTGATGACCCTATAATCAGTGACCCTTTAGTGACCCTCTGGTGACCCCCTGAGAGATCTATTATTATCATGTCATTCTTTGTTTTATATTTTAATGTATGTTTAAATAATTTTTTAAATTTAGGCCCCCTAGTAAATCATATAATACACATTTAAACAATTTGATTTAAATTCTATTAATAGAGAATTAAAAGCAGTTATGTAGTTGGTGTTAACTGTTTTTTAATCATTTTTTAGATTAATTCCTTATGTATGTCATTTGTATTACCTTTAAGTACTTAATAGTTTTATGTGTGATAACTAATGACGTTTTATTCACAGCGGATAATTACCTTATATACTAGAGGTTCTTCTTTACTTATGTCCAATATTAAGATATTCATTTTTCCCATGGTATAAGTGACAGCTAATAATAGAAATGTCTTTAAAACTCATGAGATAATACCTAGTTATTACTTGATATCTCGTTGTGTTATAATTTATTATTTTTCACTCTATTTCGGTTTGTTATGTAGCGTCATCTTAATAACTCTACTTGAATGTGTAGTCAGGATGGATAATGCATCAGAGAAGATGTCTCGACTGGAACACTCCATAATGCTGAAAAACATTGCTGACAATCTGAAACACCTAAGGTTGATGGGGGAGCTAGGAGATGAGTTACCTGCTGACTGGACCCCGGTATGTGTTTAATTGAGTACCATGAGGTGTAGATCTGGATACTGAGAGGTGAACTTTTACTCACACGTGACAGTGATTAACTGACCAGTTAATACACGGTATCATTGCCACGTGTCAAACAAATAACCTCCCAGTTAGTAAATATCCAGATCGATCGAAGAATTTTAAGTGGTTCTGATTTAATTTAGGATATATATTATTTTATGTAGACCTAGTTCTATAACTATAACATTACTCCCCAGGATTCCCAGTCTCGGAGGTCAAGTTTACTTACAGAACAGCACCAGCACCTAATAATGCAGCAAGAGAAAGCGCAACAAGACATGATAGAGTCAACAGACGACCCCCCTTTTATCGTGTCTAATACCTCTCCATACAATCCCGTCTCCTCTCAAGGTCCCTATGCTGTTCCTGCTGTGTATAGACAGCCCCCTGGATCTGTGCCCCCCAATTCCTACAAACCAGCATCTCCAGTCCCTGCTCAGTACCCCTCCTCAGTCCCTGCTCAGTACCCCTCCTCAGTCCCTGCTCAGTACCCCTCCTCAGTCCCTGCTCAGTACCCCTCCTCAGCTCCTGCTCAGTACACTTCTCCAGCTCCTGCCTTCTCTACCTCCCCTTCCCCTGCTGCTGACAGACCACCAAGGTTCAACTCTCCTAAACTTTCTAGAAAACAAACCCCAGGTATGCAGCCTGCAGCTGCTATGGGTTCCCCTCGTCTCAAACGTAAAACTCCTCCCACTCACTCAGAAATACCTTCACTTCTCAAGTCAGCCTACAATCCACCTAAGTTCTACAACAACCCAACAAACAGCCAGGCGCCCATAGTCCTGCCTCAACATCTCTCTAGCTTGGTGGTTAACCCTAGTGCTCACAAACAGAACGACCCTAAACGACTTGCTCAGGATCTTTACAACTTGGGATTCAGACAGGTTTGCTTACTCTTCTACGATGTGAAATAGTTTAGCTACTAAATTTACATTCTTTTCATTGTCAGGTCATGGTTGAAATGTTCGTTAATTTGTGAATGGAAAATCTTGGTACTTGGTATTATATATTATATAAGTACTTTGAAATTCCAAGCAATCCTGAGCAGTGAGAGGGTCTCAATAATTTGCCAGCATTTTAAGATTATTAGAACACCATTCCGCCGAAATGCCTGAATTATCAAAATTATCCTGCCACGTCCACATATTTTCTGCCAAATATTTCTGCAAATTGAAAAGCTCGTTACCGTGCTCGGAATGTATAGCGCCATGCTATCTCATATCTCCACATTCCTATACACTTTATCTTATCTCCTGTCTAATTGGAATGTGAAAAGGAGATCTGCTGACCTTTACATCCAGCAAGGTGTTACAGGAATGAGCCTTAGGAGCAAATTAATGAAGGTATTTCAGTGGAATGTGGTCGAATTACAGGCTTGAATATGTAGAAACTAACAGGTAGCAGGTTGAAGCTAGTTAAGTCAACGTAACAGTAATCACGAGTACATTCCAGTAACCATGAATACATTCCAGTAACCATGAATACATTCCAGTAACCATGAATACATTCCAGTAACCATGAATACATTCCAGTAACCATGAATACATTCCAGTAACCATGAATACATTTCAGTAACCATGAAAACATTCTAGTAACCATGACTACATTGCAGTAACCACTAACCATGGCTACATTAACATTAATCATGACAACATATACATTGCAGTAACCATGACTACATTTCCGTAACCATGACAACATTGTAGTTACCAGGACAACATTCTAGTAACCATGACAACACTGCAGTTACCAGGGCAACATTCTAGTAACCATGACTACATTGCAGTAACCGCTAACCATGGCTACATAACAGTTACCACGACTTTTGACGACATTCCAGGTAACACGACTACAAGTTCCTAATATTTAATTTCAGTTAACAATAAGAATATATAAGTAATATCAAATATCAGTAAATATGACTACAAATTCCAATAACCATGGATGCAAGTGACCACTCTTTACAATTGCACTCAGTGAGTACACCACATGCAATACGGTGCTGTGTACTTGTTTACATTGCTAGATGCGGTTAAATACCATTTGCATTGGTTCGTTTGTTTATCACACTTGTGTGTTTGCTTGTGTTTAAACTTGTGTGTATAGTGTGGCTGTTCCTTCAAGGGTTTTATTTGCTGTTCTGTTGGTCTCTTTTATCAGTATAATACAAACAGTGTTGATTGTGAGACTTAATATGATGCAAGAAGGGATCAACCTGTTGTCGAATAGTTGTAACGTATTACAAAGAGACTCTATATTTTAGTGTAACACTTATATTAACGAAAAGACGATAACATCATATAATATAATATTTAAATATATGATATAATATTACAATGTTATATTGTTAATGAAAATACCCTAAATAATGAAGGTACTGCGTGTATAAGAACCTATTACACCTACTTATACTGTATGTACAATATATTGAAACAAGTAATGCAGGGTTGCTACCTAAGTTTAAAGTATCTAAATATAGCCGCTATCACATATCGTGTGACATTTATTACACATTTCAATGTAACATATCAAATAATCATCGTGTATTCCTCAAACCCAAAAGGTCATTCTCCAATAAGTAATTCCCCACATGTGCAGTAGTCCAATGTGTTGATACTTATTATAGTTCCTAAAGTGATTATGTTAAAGATATTATATAAAGTCTGAAACATGTGACAGCGTCCAGTAAGCGATGACATTCTCCTGACATGACTCATACAACATGTTTAAAAGATAATACTTTTAATCACGTACAAGGAGCCCCTGGTGCACAGAAATACAGGACTGTTGTTACTATTGAGAATAAGATCCCCCACATAGAAACATGAGTTGTCCCTGAAACTATGTCTGGAATTTGAAGGCTGTTGAGTAAAGTAGACTGGGTGCATTAGTTGGCTGGTTACAAGCCATAGTAGTAACTAACTGGGTTTCTTTAGCCTACTATTACGTTACGTAAACTGCGAGGTATTGAAATCAGGGTATATATTATGTTGTTGATTCAGTACTCGTAATTTCCACCCAAATATGTATTGGAATGCGGTAATTATACGTTACTGACAGCTCCCCTTGGGTTATACCCGCGTATTGTACATTCCACTTGTTGCTCTACACTGTTGTTGGCCTGTACACTGTACTTGTATTTTTATGTGTTTTCACTCCTAGCTGCTTTATTAGATCACCTTGCTGGAATGTGAGGCCTGGACTTGTCAGTTAACTACCTTTCTTGGCACTTTTCCTTCTGTTTGGAAATATTTTCTTGTGTTTGAAATACCGGTGATTGAACTGGGTGTGGGATGGGAAGGAAAACTCGCAAGGATGTCAGGGAATACTTTAAAGAGATCAAGGTAGTTATATTTTACTCATACTTGTAAGGTAGTAGTAACTTATAGGGTTAAATGTCAGTTTTGTGTTGTACGATGTTTTGTTATTTGTTGTCTTATTTCTCCTCCATAGTTTAAAAAGTGAATGTTTGCGTGAATTACCTAAATTTAAAATAACTCACACGCAGTTAATTTCATTACAAACCTGTCATTATATGCGTCTGACGATTGTACAGTATAATTATATTACATTATATATTACATTAACTCACCTGCACAGCTTGCATTACACTTTGCAGTAGAGAGTCAGAGTACAAAAAAGGGTAGAGTAGGTAGACACCAGTCGAACTTGCTTAAGACTATTAAATTTGATTTAGGTAGCAGGAACATTCCATTTGTAAATACAGACGATTTGTACAATTTAAGACTTTTAGCCTCTGATAGAGCGGGATGGAAGAATTTGTTATAGCTTGTGTATCAGTTTTTCTTTTTTTTTCTGGCTACTTATCAGATCTTTAAGATGTTCATTTATGTTCTATTTTTGATTTGAATAAAGTTATATAAAAAAAAAAAAATTGTATACTGCATATGATCCTGCTGTCTACAACCACACCGCAATTATAAATGTAGACTCTGTGTTACCTTAGTGGGTCACCTTATTATGTAACCTTACTGTAACCAACACTGCCGTCACTCATCTATTTTGAAACATGACTCCATCTATGATGCATTGTTGTGATCCTGTACAGTGTACATGTAAAGATAGGTAATTAGGTGTAATGATAAAATGTGCGCTAACATTCAGACTCCATCAAACCACATTGCTTATCAAGATGCTAATTGATTAGTAATTAGTAGATTTGATTATAAGTAATCACTTGTCATGTGACATCAGTATTGTGTCAACTCAGACGAGATCATAAAATTGTTCCTGAATATATTGTATGTGTGTTTTTACACTGCCAAAACATCATTATTCATACGAAATACTTCTTCTACTGTAGAAGATTCAGTTGGAAGTCAGGGTGAATCTTGATTTTACTTATTTACACAAATTGTAGTCCGTAACAAGAATTGTGCCCGATTTCTGGACGGGGGTGGAAGCTAGATTATATCCACTGTATGCTCTGCAATCAGTTTTAATTTTATGATATAATAAAACCCTATCCTGGTGCCCAGTACCTCTTCCCCTTCCCCCAAATGTTTAATTCATTAAGATCTCACGCGATGCTTGGAAAGTGGGTGCCTGATGTCGATTGTTGAGTGAGCTTGTCGGGTTCGTTACTCCCACTAATTACCATTTACTTGAGTGCTTGTGAACACTAACCCCTAATTGGTTAATCCGACGGGGAGTCTAAACTCAAAACCCCGGTTAACCGTAGTATTTCCCCTGTATCTCTAACTATAAGTGTAAGGTAAATCGGGTTTCATTTTAAGAGCCACTACTTCTGATTCAAATAATACTCCCCAAATATTAACTTAACTTTCATCTGTGTAGGATATTGGAAGCAAAAGGTACTATAATACTCATGCCTCATGAAATACAAATTTAACTCCTTATACATTTAAACTTCAAAGATTTTGCACCGTGGAATAGAAAATGTTCAATAACATGTACAAATTACGATGTTTTGACGCCAGACGCGCGACTTATGACCATAAAAGGCAATACATGAAGTGAATAAGAGGTATAATGAAGAGGTAGTTTCACAGTCTAGCAACAAATTTCGCTTTAAACTATCAGTAAACTGTACTATTAGATCAGATAGCTGTGTTCGCCTTATTATTTTGACATTTGACAGTTAATAATTCTACCATATGTTCTCACCCTTTCGTATAACACCATATATGGGCATATGTCATTCTGTCATACTACTCTAAGAACATGTCTGTGATTTGAAAACCAGCACATACAATGAAGACCTCTGTCATCTATGTAATATCTCCGACCATCATGATAAGTAGAACCGTAACATTTGATCTATTTATAAGATCCCAGGTTCTTCACAGTTATTTTATGTTGCCTTTTTTCAACTGCAGCAAAATTTAATTTTTGGAACCCAAAACGGTTTATGTGACACTGATAATAAAAATTGTTTGATGATGTTCAAAACTTGTTTAATATGAAAATATCATATCAATAATTGCCTTAAGATATTGAACATTAATAGCAACTGTACTGTCAGTTAACTAATTGATAGTATCTTGGTGAAATTAAAGCACGTTTAACCCACAAACTAACAATTTTATTTTTGTTCTACTTTAATTTCTATTTGGTCTTCTTTTGTCGTCACCCACACCTCATATGATGCAATGGGACTATTTCGAGCTGCTTCCACATCATGCTTATTCTGTTACTAAATACAAACCGAACCCTATCTTAGAGAGGTCCTTGTCTATTATGATTGGACAAAGCCGAAAGCGAAATTATCAGAGACCCCCAGCGATGATACTGATAAATAGCAGTCCTAGTGGTCTTCTTATCTTCTTTGTGCGGTGTTATTTTACAGGGCACACCCCCTTCATGAAATATGGCCGTTTAAGTTAGGAAAATATGGAACGCGCGGGAGTCTTATTTGGTGTTTCATAGCGCGCAAATGACGCGCATACTACGCGCGCGTGTATATATTGTTTAGCAAGATTGACACAAAGAATCCGATGCATGCATTGTATCATTTCCTGCATATCATGACTTTAGACCCGCATCCTCAAAGTACTAACTCACTATTGACTGTAAGTGTTGTCATCAAACGAGTCCCTGAAACTCAAATAACTGAAATAACTCTCTAAACATTGAATGATAATCTGGCTGAGTAAGCAGCCGGCGTGTAAGAAGTGTGTGCTGTGTTATCTGAACAGAGGAATTTACACACATTCCGCAGGAGGTGGCTGCGTACGCTGCCCAGCAACATGGGACCACTAGTACAGCGGAGGACATTGCTAGGATGCTGATTGAGCAGAAATGTAGGAATGCCGGAGCTGACCTCATGTAAGACTTTAGCTTTCTGTTTTCTTGCTGTCAATCAATAATTCAACTTTTGATGGTTTGTAAATTTAAATTCATCCTATAGCGTATTTATATTATATGAGTATGTAAATTATATTCATTTTAACTTAGTTGTTTAGGCCAATAGATTTTAGATAATTTTAAACTTTAGTAGATATATTTTTGATGATGTTTGTGTCATTATATTTTGATTTGATTTTGATTTGATTTATAACTTTGTAATACTGAAATGAACGGTTAATGACACCAGGGACCGTTACGGATCACTAGACAACATCGCAAGTCCAGATTTGGCGGATGTGGACCGAGCCCGATCACCCAGCCCTGCCGGCGGAGTTAGGAGTCAGAGCCCGGTTTCCTACAACAATACTAACCCTTGTCAGAGGACATCATACGGGCAACCTTCTCACGACAGCTACGGGAACTACAGTGTTAGTTATGGTTCTTTGAGTTGCTCAGTGCTTTCAGAACAGTGCAATTAGTTTATAATCGCACTGGTTTTTACAAAATAGTCGGTGCGATTATAAACTAATTGCACTGATTACAACATCAGAAACGTGGAGTTATACGCGAATCTAACTGCATGTATAATGCGATTACACCAGTTATTACACTCGGCTGCGCCTCGTGAAATAACTGCAATAATCGAACTCGGCTTCGCCTCGTGCGATCATTGTATCAATTTGCACTCGGCTGCGCCTCGTGCAATTAATAGTGTAATCGCATTATACGCAGTTAGATTAGCGTATATAATTTAACTCACTGTTCAATACAAGTGGCAGGAAACTTTTCGAATCCATTAAACATCTATTTTATAAATCTAACTGGAAGTGTGCTAATCTAGTTACTTTTCAGGGTCAACCGATGTACTCGCCGTACTCAGCAGGGAAGAACTACGTAGTAGGTCCAGGTTTCATGTCAGGCAATCCGGGCCAGATATCTTACCTTAAGTATCCTCAACCTGTAACCCCTGCACGGAGAGAAATAGACCCGCAATATCTTCCACCCAGAACTGGACCTGTCGCAGCGTGTCATCCTGATCAGAATTATTATCAAGAGCCAACTCAACCAGAGGATCCATTTAGCAGACAGGCCTCCCCACCGCCCCAATACACCTCCAACCCCTCCTTATATAACAGCAGTAATAGGCCTGATGTTTACAACCCCACCCCACAGTACAAACAACCCCAGACCAGGGACCCAGGAGACCTCCCTCCTTACTTCTCCGGCACTAACTTCCAGAAGGTTGGGTATGCTAACAGCTCCGAGGAGAGTAGTAAAACTAGCAGCCCCTCTTCTCAGACTCCTAATGGTAGTTTCCCGACAGCTTTACCAGAACTCCCACCATTTCCCGGACCACCAGTTTCCAGTAGTGGTTTGCCGAGTTCTTCCAACGAGGACGGCAGTAACTTGGCCTCTTCTCCGGTTTCTGTGCAGGAAAGGATCAAGAAACTCAATCAGAACATTGCTACTCAAAATGACTCTTATCAAGGGGCGGTATTATCCCCCAAACCAGTTAAGAAAGCCGATGTGGCTCCTGCAAAACCGCCTAAAAAACCGGCGCACCCTCTTAAAAAGACTATGGATTCAGAAAGGAAACCTTTTAAAATGTTTTCTCCACTTCCTAAAAGGAAGAATAAACAACCTGAGGTTGAACCTGAGGTTAATCGGAAACCAGCGGTCCCAAGCGAAGCTGTTAAATTCATTTTAGAACAGAAAATAGAGAATTTGATCAAAGAGACAGCCAACAAGAAAAAGAGGCGTGATGAATTTGAAGCAAGTATCAAGGATTATCCTGAAAATGAGAAGGGGAGACTCAGGATAGTGTTCGCGCAGAAAGAGTCGGACTTCCTCCGGCTCAAACGATCTAAAATTAACAAGGACATGTTTACTAAGATTAAAACTATTGGCATAGGATCATTTGGTGAGGTGTCACTCGTTCAGAAATCCGACACTGGCACTTTATACGCCATGAAGACGCTCAGAAAAGCGGAAGTTTGGAAACGGAACCAAACCGCCCACGTGAAGGCTGAGCGGGACATATTGTCAGAGGCTGATAATAAATGGGTTGTTAAACTCCACTTCTCTTTCCAAGACAAGGGTAATCTCTACTTCGTGATGGACTATGTGCCTGGAGGGGATATGATGAGTCTATTAATAAAATACGGCAGATTTCCGGAGTGGGCGGCTTGTTTCTACATAGCAGAACTTGTGTGTGCAGTAGATAGTGTGCACAAGTTAGGCTTCATTCACCGGGACATTAAACCGGACAATATTCTAATAGACGAGAGGGGACACTTGAAACTCACTGATTTCGGCCTTTGTACCGGGTTTCATTGGACCCACGACTCCTCTCGGTACCGAGCAGCTCTGGGGCAACCTCATGATAGACACGCCAGTATTGACTACGACGAGGCGCTCTCGAAAGAGAACACGTGTCAGTGTGGAGATAGGAGTAAACACGAGAAACCCCTGGATCGGAGGAGAGCTCATCAGAGGTGTCTAGCTCACTCTCTTGTCGGTTAGTAACTTAAATTTTAATTTGTTATGTCAATCATCAAATTTACTGAGCAATAGAAGCTGGAATTTGTGTTTACATATTTTGTTCCAAATTTATTGAAACTTACTTAGTTTGAGATAGTTTGAGGTATTTGTTGATGTAGTAATAGTAATAGTAGTAGTAATAGTAGTAGTAGTAGTAGTAATAGTAGTAGTAGTTGAGAACCCTGCACCCAGGAACCCCCAACTACATTGCACCTGAAGTGTTGCTGAGAGAGTGGTATCAGCACGAGTGCGACTGGTGGAGTGTCGGGGTCATTCTCTACGAGATGATCATTGGCAAACCTCCCTTTTACGCGTGAGTAACTTTAGTGTGTACTTTGTAGTTACTTTAACTGTTCTGGATACTTTGTAATATTAATATTTGTTATCTTACTATAAATTGGTCTGCTTCGTGTTTTGCAAAGCTTACAGCATGTATATGTCATAGATAGGTTAACTCACTTAACTAGCCATTAAAACTCATATTATATGCTTTTTGTAAGCGATAAAACACAAAAATTAATCATAAATAAAAAGGAACATTCGATTTTGAGACTATTATATTGTATATTTAAATATTTATTTATTTTGATAATTATCTATTTTGATAATCATAACTTTTATAAGGATTGCATAACTCAAAATATGATCTCTACCTATTAATGAACTAACTAAATACCAGCCAGTAGTAGTAGTAGTGTTGAACAACAGTCACATAGACTGAGAAACATATCTCTCATGTGCCTGGTATCGTGTTAAGAAGAAGTTCATTATGAACTGTCTCAGAGAACTGTGAGTAACAAAGAATACTAGAGGGTTAAGAAAGGTAGACACGTTCAGGAACAAAGTAGCAAATCTGAGGAAATAAACACTGGTCATGACAGGGTCCTTGAAGAAGTTAATCAGGTTGATGGGAATAAGAGTTAGCAACATCAGCAGGGTAACCAGTATAACTACAAATATATTCTTCATATTCGGGGAGCTTTTAACCGCCCGGGATTTCTTGACAGCGAACCAGATGAGAGTAAAGTTAGAGAGGGCCAGCGGAACACAAGGCGCTCCAAAGAGCGCTACAGTCAGAGCTCGGTGTATAGTCTGATGGTGCAGAGGCCACCCTGCGCATTTAGAGCCTATCGCCCAGAACACAGCTACAGTGTAACCGTTAAAGTGAGCTACCAGGTTCCAGACAGGGAATATACTACTGATAAGTAGAGCAGTAGCAGTAACTAGTACCCTGGAGTGAGATGTAGAGAGAGAGCACCAGCTCCTAAACGGGAACATGCACCTGACTAGGCGGTGTCCTGCAAACATGTTGACTAGAACTATTCTAGCCACGAGACCTACAGCTACAAACACACTCCCCACCACACAGAGTGTCTCTCCTAGCACCCACACGTTCCCTGACAGGTTAGAGATACACATGGGCAGTACAACCATTACCATGTGCACTAGATCCGCCACACTCAGGTTCAGCACTATCCATATCGAGATACTATCTAGTTTGAGAGCTTTGTTCAGGATACCGGAGATAAGGAGACAGTTGCCCAGGATTCCCAGGAGGAGGCACAAGCAACACCACACTGTTGTGGCTGCTTGTTCTGCTGCTGTTCTACTGTCTTCTGACAGTGCGAGGTATGCTGAGGTTTCGTTCATTATCTACTGGGTAGAGATGAGGTTTAGTGAGGTTTCGTTCATTATCTGCTGGGTGGAAATGAGGTTTAGTGAGGTTTCGTTCATTATCTGCTGGGTGGAAATGAGGTTTAGTGAGGTTAGGTTTGATATCTGCTGAGTGGCCATGGGATTACACGAGGAATTGATTGCTGTGTCGACATACGTGTATAATGTATATTGTACATATTGAACAGATTTAGGCAAAAGAAGCAAATTAAACTAACGCAACCAAAACACGCTGCCAACTTGGGTAAATCTATAAAATGCTGGCATGATATTCTACTACAATTACGATAAATATTGCCTATAAACGGAACTTGTTAACCGCATTAATTAGTATTAATTAGCAGTAATTAGCAGTAACATTGTAGAATAATTATAGACTTACAATTTACATTTACAGCTGTCACCACTATAATAATGGCATGAGTATTGAACGTTAAAAACCGAAATATTGGCAGCCCCTAAAGTAAAGAAGTAACCATCGTTATTACTGTAAACAATTGAGAGGAGTAATAAAAATGGGAGAGAAATCTGTATTTGAATAGCACAGTAGTAGTCTAAAACATTATTTAATTTACAAGTACTCCACTCTATAACAGGTGTCTCTTTATTATATAACGGAGGAGGTGATTATAAGGATGTACCTTAGTCGGCTTAGTTCACGTGAACTTACAGAACTGATCACATGATAGAGATCACTGTAAGTAGAGGAGATATCAGGCACATAGCATTAGTTGTGAAGAATTAGTGTTCTCTAGATCATGACGGTAAATAAAATAAAGTTTAAGTTTAATAAAGTTTAAATAAAGTTTAAGTTTAATAAAGATCATGTTGAGTGGGGAACAGCTGAGCTGTAATTAAAAGTAGGACAGTATAGAAATATAATGAATTACAAGTCAATAGCGACCTGTACAGTTATTAGTTTAGCGTGGGTCTCACCTGGTGTAATTAAAGTGAAAGTCAGATGTTAACTAAAATAGAAGAATAGAGTTCTAATACTACTACTAGGCACTAGCCAACAGATTTACTTCAAGATATATTAAATACTTATCCAAACGTCTGTAATGACGCTTATATACAGATAAATGGTTTGGGTCCTAAAAATCCCGATAATTACCGAGAAATAGATTACACCTGAAATGAGTTAATCGATATCACGTGTAATGATGTAACCTCAATTTCAGGAACACAGCTGCGGATATACAAATGTCCATTATAAACTGGAGATGTTGTCTGTCTATACCAATAAACGCTAACATCAGTGATAACAGCATCAACCTTATCTTCAAACTACTCCAGGACTCCGACAAGAGGTGAGTTTAACTTGTTACATAATATGACGTACAGATAAACTACACTATCTACATGATAACCTCTTAGTAAAACCTCTTAGTTACGACTATATATTATAGTACAGTATAATATATATTATAGTACAGTATAATATATATATATTATACTATACTAGTATATACACATTACACAACTAACAAGCTACTAGTAGTTAGCTAGTATAAACAGCTAACAAGCTACTAGTAGTTAGCTAGTATACACATTACACAACTAACAAGCTACTTTTGCTGCAGACTGGGAAGGTGTGGAGCTGATGAAATAAAGGAGCATTGTTTCTTTGAAGAGATCACGTGGGAGAACCTGCACGATACCCGGGCTCCCATGATACCTGGTTAGTAGAACTAGAACATTCTGCTACTAGAACATCCTAGAACTAGAACATTCTGCTACTAGAACATCCTAGAACTAGAACATTCTGCTACTAGAACATCCTAGAATTAGAACATGGATCAGGAGTCCTGATTCAGGACTCTTATCACTCTAATATTGGAGTTTCAGTTCTTATCTGTTGAATTTCAGAGTTGCGGTTCCCGACAGATACGCGGTACTTTGACTCGTTCGACGAGGACAGAGTGCGGTTCAGTGATACGGAGGACTCTCAGGATGCCGACACTCCCGCCCATCCCTTCTACGAGTTCACTTTCAGACGGTTAGTTTTATAATACAGTACTCTTTTTATTTTGTCATTTTGTGTGTCGGAATATTGTTAGTTTACAAAATATTTGGGTGAGAGTGCCGCCCAGATTATAGTTCGTACAGATATTTAGTTATTACAGTCGCTAATTACCTAATTTAATCTAATTACAGGTTTACTGGAGGAGATGTAACGATACCAAAAGAGCAGTTCATTCAAACCAAAGGTCCAGTGCTGGTCTGATCATTTCTGCGGGTTCAGACGTTCGGAGTGACTAGTCACGTGTTGTCACGTGATAGCAGCTCAGATACAAGTTGTGACGAATTCAGATAGTTGGACAGTAGGACCCACAGTTAATTAAATATTTGACTCGCTAATGGACAGTTAATTGAATAATTGACTCGCTAATGGACAGTTAATTGAGACAAACACAGACGAGTAGGCTTTGGTAGCGGCCGTGGTGTGTAATGTCTACAGAGTGTGAGTTGTGTGAAAGAGAAAAAACGTGTTCTGCACGTGTTCTGCGCGGCGTAGCAGGCTATTAGATAAATAAATCATATTATTAATATACCATTTCAAAATCACCTACTAAAACACTGTAAAATGTCTGCTACACGCGCAATACACTTACCGTGTTTGATAATAGCACTATTATAGTAGTACTATGACGTAGTACTATAGTATTATATAGTTGGACTGTAATTAAGGTATTTATATTAACAGATTATCGGGTAACCACCGTTGACGGTATTTTTTACTACCGGGGATATTTTCTTTAAAACTTGTTTGATATTTCTTAAAATAATAGTTTTCTAGACGTGTATCATCCCATGATTACTAAATTTTATTTGATTTATCTTTTACGAGTTCTCTTAGGGTGAGTCAGTATAGGATGATTCAGTCTCAATTTTAAGGATCATTATTGTTAAAGCTCTTTTATTGGATTAAATATTGAGAAATGTACAGGATCTGAACAAGGTGATTTCTACATGTCTTAAATGAGCGTGTTTTGTAAGTTTTCTGCCTTGTTTTAGTTTAGCAGAAACAGAGAGAAGTACGAATCTTCTTTCTCGAGAAAAAGAGAGATTAAAACATGTTATTTGACTCTAAATTCGATTTTATAATTATTTAAGCTAAGTTAAAGACGCAGCATGGACGAAAAATGAGAATTTTGTACAAAATAAGATTGTTTGTGAGATTACATTCGCGTGATGTGATATAAAACTATTTTAAAACTATTTATAAAACTATTTTAACTTTAATAAAAGTACCCCAAGTACAATAAGTTACACTAAGTTTAAACATCGTCCACGTCCAGTAACACTTAATGATGAAGAAAACTTCTTTCTACACTGTGTCCTCAGTTAAAAAGAATGCCCTTGTTTTCTATTATAACTCACCCTGGGGTAATCTCACAATAAATTGTCAATGATATAATTGTTTTAATTTATTAAAAAACTTATACTAAGAATTGTTGTAGCATAAAGAGCTGTAATTCTTTCAAGAAAATTGGTTGGAAGTTAATATGAAAATTCGGATCTGTGAAGTCTGAACATAAGTTTTTGTCTGTTCGCTCCCATTCTCATTGGAATTCTGAGAATTGTGTACTACTACTATAACTACTAGTGTACAGTATACTACTACTTTTACAGTTGTAGTAATAGTTGCACAATCACCGGAGCTAAACCTCCCAATATATTTGACAATATGTTAGAGATGGTGATAGAGAGTGTTTCAGAGACGTGTAATGTACATTGCATATATTTCAAGATTATTTCGGATATTTACTATGATTATAATAGTACGTTTCACTTTTCTTCCTGCTTCCACCCACAATTGCTGTAAAAAATCGGCTCTTACTAATTCGCTCGCCCAAACATTATCGCGTGACTGGTTTTTACGGTTTTGCAGCCGAAAAAAGGGTTTTACATAAACTGTAATCGACAAATCCTAACCACAACCCCGCGCCGAAGCTATCCATAACCCTAACCATAACCCTTACCCGAGCCCTAAATATTCGAATTCATGTTTTACTAGCCTGTCACTTTACCAAAATAGTTTTTGCCCATAACTCTAGGGAAGCATTTTTACCCTACATCATGAGGGGTGGTTCGGAATAAGGGTCCAAAAATACACCGAACTAGATTACTTTCACACCATCAGGGCCTTTTCGCAAGAATTTTTTAAAATTTGGGCGATCGATTTATTGGAAGCGAAAAAATCAATAAAGCATAAAATCAGTGCAATTTGGGTCGCGAAAAGCTGAAATCTGAAAATGTCCTACCGGCAGGAAATTTTCAAAATTTTCCTTCCAAAGTTTTCTCCAAATATACACAATACAGCAGCTTCCAGTACCTTGATGGTCGACCTCGTTGATCGATCATTGGTCAAAAATTCAGTAAAAAAAAAATTCGGTCAAGGAGACGGCAGAAAAGCTTAATTGTTTCAAAAATCTTCCAAAATCTCTTTTTGAGGTAATCCTCAAATTGCAAAATCTGCCCCCTTATCACCAACGGCACTTGTGACCAGAGGAACTTGGTATTTCGAGTATACTGCAACTTGTGCCAGAATTTCTACGAATGTGAAACATACTGATACAGACCCTGCCACGATAGATTCAGTGAACATGTTAGAGCTGCTAGTAATCCCTCCACATATCCTAACAATGCCATAGGCAAACTTACTGGGCCGCACTCAGCCTGTCATTCCGCCGAATCTCTATATGTTTATGAACATAATTGATAATAGCCTGAGGTCCCCAGGTAATAGGCAAACACGTTGTAGAACATCATGTTAACTGTGTACCTGTACTAACTTTCACCATTTAATTCTAAATAAACAGTCTAGTACTGCACGTCGCAAAATATCTGAAGCTATTTTGATAAGTAAACATGAACCCTCTATGAATGTCAAGGAAGAGTTATTTATATTACTATTAGAAACAATGAAGTTTATGTTACACGGATAAGTGTGTATCGTACTGTGTGTATAATTTGTGTATAATGCATGGGGAATAGACTATTACCGGTTTAGCCGGATTTACTTGGACTAAATTTAGTGTTGAACAGTTGCACTTGTGCTACAGTTTGTGTTATGTTTAAGTTTAAGTGACGTTAGTTTTCCAATTCGTAGTTGTTTAGTACTTTCATGTTTTGTTTAGTTTTGTAATCAGTGTATGTCATAATTCTTCGTATCGTAGTATTTAATATATTTTTCTGTCAGAGTTTTACCACATAATATGTGACATATGTTCTTTGTCGTTATATTTAATTTTAATTAATAAATTTCAGAACTGATGAAGATGTAGACCATCGAAAATATTTTTGTGTGATTAACTGCTTGTTTCATTTGTTGAGCTCGCTATAGTGGAGGAAAAACAGAATTTTCACCTATCAGTATTATATTATTCTTTTTCTATTATATTATTATAATGATTGCATGATTTTCCGTTAAATGTTAATCAAAGCTTTCTTTAGGAATCCAACTTTCAAATTCAGTACCCCAATCGTGTCTTGTGCCATCCTCAGTGACCTTGCTACTAGATGGTAATTGCTTGATGGTAATTCAAATTACAGGGAAATTTGGGTCGCGGAAAGCTGAAAACTGAAATCTACCGGTAGGACATTTTCAAAATTTTCCTTTCATCAAAGTCTTCTCCTGGGTGGTGGGGGCAATGGCATAAAATTTAGAAATATAATTGCCTAAAGGTTATCCATTTTCTTCATAGAAATGTCCAATTGTTTTCTTGCAAATATAGAATTAGAACCATTTAATTTTAATAATATGTAGTACAATACTCCCTCTACACAGTTTACACGGCATTCCCTCATGGAAATTTAACACGAACTTAAAGTTAAACAAGATGTGTAATCTTTACAAATTCCTTAACGACTGTTTATGTGGCTCCCTCGTTGCTTGCTACACGTTGTATACCTCTCTCGTGCACACGAAGCCTTTTCGGCCTCTCCGAAGCCTCTCCGGCCTTTTGTGGAATTTGGGGTTGCAACGTGTGTCAACTCGTTGCTCAATCACAAAGTGCCCAGTCGCTGGTTGGTTTGGTGATGATTAATTACTTTAGTTCACTCGACTATCAGGCACTATCCGTCGCGGAGTCGAGTCCGCGGCAGAGCCGCCGGACTCCGGGCGGACTCCGAGCGGACTCCGGCGGAGCCGCCGGACTCCGAGCGGACTCCGGCGGTGCTCCGCCAAAATGTATTTACAGTGGACTCGAGTACATTTTGGCGGACTCCGAGCGGAGCCGAGCGGACTCCGAGCGGACTTTAAAGTCCGCCGCGGACTCCGAGCGGCTCCGCGGCGGCTCGGCGGAGTGTCCGCCGCGGACTAAGCCACTAGGCGGACTCCGGTCCGCCGCGGACTCCGGCGGAGTGCTTGGCGGACTCCGCCGGACCTCTCCACCAGACTTGAATCCGGCGGAGTCCGGCGGAGCTTGGCGGAGTCCGCCAGCTCGGCGGACTCCGCTCGGAGTCCGCCGGACTCCAACAGAGTCCACTGACTTCCGACCTCCGTCTTCCGACCCTCGGCTAAATTTGTCACGTGACATACAACATAGCATTTTGCAATATTGTGGTCAGATGAAAAGGTCGCTAGTGATAAACCTTAACCATTAGTATTACCCTCACAATGTCAATAGTGTACAACTCTAGTCCTAACTTTGACCCTATAATGTATAAAAGTTGACCCTAACCCTCCACCAAACCGTCCGCAGCGAAATATCAATGTCATTGACTGGTCACGTGCAACGTGACCAAAACAATTTTTGTCATATTATCTCATATGGGGAAGCGTTTTTAGCAAGCAAAAATACGTCGACCATCACAGGACGACGCCAGCCAGCACTCTCTACGCTCTTCGAGCTCCGATCGTCCTGTGACGAAGTAAGGACGAAACCTGAGGTCCTCAGGTAACATCGACCACCGATTAAAAATTCAAAGATTTTTTGACATAAAGGTCAAATGTAAAACTAAAATCTTGATGTTGATTGATTGACGACGTCAATTTTTGAGCACAGCGCCTGTCAGCGCGAGCGCACATTGCGGAAATGCGGAAAAGGACCGCGTAGCTAGTCAAGATGTTGATAAATATTTGGCTTGTGGCGCGATGTGTTGCTCTAACTATAGCCCTCTCGCTTGTTGATTGACGATGTCAATCCGTCGAGATCGTTGCTCTGCGAAGCAGAGCAACGATCGTTCGATGCGAAGCAAGAATGCTAGTTCGCGCGGCGCGTCGAAGCGGCGAAGTCCTCCAATCTCGCTTGCAGTAGCGCGCGACCGCCGGAGGCGGAAATGACCTGGTTAGCTAGGTAAACGCGATGTGCCTTGTAGGATGAAATCCTACTATAGCTGACGCCATTCGCAGCTGTGCTGCTCGCTGTACGTCAGCGATCGAAATTTATACGCGTATCCCCCGTCGCGTTAAGATGTGCCACTCGACGCGCCACACAATTTTTTTCGTTGCTCGTCGCACGTCGACGAACAACGAAGCTCGTTGCAACGCGCCGCGCAATGAGCTGCCAGGCTAGCTGCAGCTGGCTGACGCCGAGTAGGGTGTTTTGGCCGTTCTAACTTAAGACTTTTAAGAATTAAAGCAGCCGTATTGATCTTCCAAACCTACAACTTTCAAGGGCTAGAATTCGCTGTATTTTGCCGTTAAAACACAACTTGTACTGTTTCACTTCATGATTGGGCCGTAATTCAAAAGCAAATTGTCAAGAAGTGGTGCTCACGGTCTCACTTAACGTCACTTATCGCTCAGTTAAGAGCGACCATGGTCTTAAGCGACAGACAGCCTGCAGGCATATGATCTGAATACGAAATATCCTAGTGTTCGGCATTTAGTAGCCCTAATTGGTTACTTCGTACCCAGGAAAAGTTACCGGCTGGTGGTGGTACTAGAGTTGGTTTAATTTAAACAGACGGCTCGACCTCGCGCGCGACAACAAGCATGATTTGCACGCGTGGCGTATTCCAATGTTCAAGCAGCTACCACGTGACACAATTCAGCCAACCAGAGTACAGGAATCCGCAAAGTTAAAGTTGCAAACTTTTGATCGGCCCGAAAGGGGACTTTTCTGGAGATTTTGAGATAACTCAACAATTACGTTGTCTTGAATTTTCCTCCTGGAGAGGTAACGTTACTTTTAAAAGAGGAACATGTTACAAAAAACCGGAAGTCTCCAACTCTTTTACTTTCAAAGTTAAGCCCCATCCGGTCAGGGTTCCTGGGAGGACATCGTCCTGGTCCAACAAATTTTGTCTAGCGATTTTCTCCAAAAATTTAATGAGGGCGTCGACGTGCGACGAGCAACGAGAAAAATTGCGTGGCGCGTCGGGTGGCACATCTTAACGGGTGATACGCGTATAAATTTCGATCGCTGACGTACAGCGAACATCACAGCTGCGAGTGGCGTCAGCTAGTAGGATTTCATCCTACAATGCAAGGCACATCGCGTTCATTTAGCTAACCAGGTGCTTTCGCGCCGCTGCGGGCGCGCTTGTTCCACAAGTCATTTCCGGCGGTCGCGCGCTACTGCAAGCGAGAGGGCTATAGTTAGAGCAACACATCGCGCCACAAGCCAAATATTTATCAACATCTTGACTAGCTACGCGGTCCTTTTCCGCATGCGCTCGCGCTGTGCTCAAAAATTGACGTCGTCAATCAATCAGCATCAAGATTTTAGTTTTACATTTGACCTTTATGTCAAAAAATCTTTGAATTTTCAATCGGTGGTCGATGTTACCTGAGGACCTCAGGCTTCGTCCTTACTTCGTCACAGGACGATCGGAGCTCGAAGAGCGTAGAGAGTGCTGGCTGGCGTCGTCCTGTGATGGTCGACGTATTTTTGCTTGCTGGGATCCAGGGATCCGGCCGAATGACGCCACATGCAACGTGTAGGGTAAAACTAAAAACGCTTCCCCATATGAGATAATATGACAAAAATTGTTTTGGTCACGTGACCAGTTAATGACATTGATATTTCGCTGCGGACGGTTTGGTGGAGGGTTAGGGTCAACGTTTATACATTATAGGGTCAAAGTTAGGACTAGAGTTGTACACTATTGACATTGTGAGGGTAATGGTTAAGGTTTATCACTAGCGACCTTTTCATCTGACCACAATATTGCAAAATGCTATGTTGTATGTCACGTGACAAATTTAGCCGAGGGTCGGAAGACGGAGGTCGGAAGTCAGTGGACTCTGTTGGAGTCCGGCGGACCCCGAGCGGAGTCCGCCGAGCTGGCGGAGTCCGCCAAGCTCCGCCGGACTCCGCCGGATTCAAGTCTGGCGGAGAGGTCCGGCGGAGTCCGCCAAGCACTCCGCCGGAGTCCGCGGTGGACCGGAGTCCGCCTAGTGGCTTAGTCCGCGGCGGACACTCCGCCGAGCCGCCGCGGAGCCGCTCGGAGTCCGCGGCGGACTTTGAAGTCCGCTCGGAGTCCGCTCGGCTCCGCTCGGAGTCCGCCAAAATGTACTCGAGTCCACTGTAAATACATTTTGGCGGAGCACCGCCGGAGTCCGCTCGGAGTCCGGCGGCACCGCCGGAGTCCGCTCGGAGTCCGCTCGAAGTCCGGCGGCTCCGCCGCGGACTCGACTCCGCGACGGATAGTGCCGACTATCACGTGACGTCTTACTTAAACACGTTTTATAAATTACTCTGATGGACAATTCAAACCTCCAACCCTAAACTCTGACCCAAACCCTACCTTTATAACACAATCCCTAAAAACAGAAACTGAAGTTGGTATCATATCGCACCGGGGACATTATGGAGGAATGCAAAAATTAGGGAATCGAATGACTGCCAAGTGTCAATGCTCAACTGATGTATTCCACTTCGTGTTGTTAATATTAGTTTTTACACTCGTTACAATCAGCAAACACTCTTATCTTTTGTTTGAGGTGCGATAAGAGGTTTTATGACCTGATTACACCGGCGTTTACACATAATGGATACTCGGCCAGGATACTTAACCCTTAAAGTGGTTTCTATACATTATCCTCTAGGCTCTAGCTAAGTGTACGTTTACAATTAGAGTTATAATATTGTAGTAGAAGAGAGGATCCACAACTTGCATTGACCAGATTAGGATTTAAAAAATCGTATCTCTTATTTCTTAACCAACTTTTCGACCAATCTTTCGACCGATGAAGACACGCGTTTCGACAAACAATTTTCAGTCCATTCCATTTCTCCTGATATGAAAAGCGCCCTATTAAGTGATCACTGATCATTCAGTATTATCTTCTGATCAATACACTCGTACAGCCACTAGTATGACTCGTGCTCACGAGGGAACTGAAGAACATATTTTGCCGAATGAGATCCCAGAGACTGTGAGTGTAGATGTGCTCGGAGTGGGAGACACAGAACATAAAACCAACAGCCAGACAAGATCAGGTTTCATCAATTTGATATCTCCAAATTATAGTTCAGAGCATATAACTATCTGCAAATTTGTTTTACATAAACGTTTCCAACTTGAAAATAAAATATTTCCCAGATAGAAGATACAAGCTGACGACTAGTGAAGTAGTTTTGGTGGTCTTATTTGCTACATTTGGTTACGGATCATCATTCAATCCTCGGACTTATCTTTCTGGATTTTACCTCGACTTTCTCAAACAAGCGGATCTCAATGTGGTGTTAGGTGATTTAATGAGTTTAGATTAACAAATCTTTTAATCCATTAGCAACTAATCAATTTATTATCAACTATCAAGGTCCTCTTTAAAGTACTGCAAGTTATAATTCCACTCGATTAATATTTTTCGTATTTAGCATGAAACCTAAAGATTGAATTAACAGGGACTGTTTCAATATCTACATTACTGGTAACACAGGGACTGAGCCCCTACATCCTGCCTCTATTACCCTGGTTTAAGAAACTCTCCCTCACTACAAGGTGTCTCCTTCTTCTTATCGGCAATATTATCTGCTACTTCGTCATGTCCCTAGTGGACGTGATGGTGGAGGCTGACCCCAGGGGTGGTCTGGTGTTCGGGGTGGTTGGAGCAGCTCGAGCACTTCAGGGGCTGTGTTGTGGTTCTTTAACCGTTATAGTACAGGTCAGTGTTTACTCGAGAATCTGTGGCAACTATGGTGGGCCTTGAACCGAGGTCAGGGTGACGTTTCAGTTAGCTTATTAAAGATAACTACCTCTATTATCAATACTACTACTTCCTTCTACTGTACATTGTACAATACGTTTCAGGGGGAGATAGTGGACTTGTACCTGGCAGATAAGAAGTCTCTAATGGTGGTGATATGCAGTGCGATACACATCTCTGCTCTGGTACCCTTCGTTGTGGGAACTGAACTTTACACCTCCGGAAAGTGGCTCCTCACAGGACTCCTCATCCCTACATTCGATCTTATCCCTCTGCTCCTGCTTCCTTTCATTAGTAAACTTCAGAGGAAAACTAGTGCGGGAGAGTATTGTGTTGGGTTAGCTGATGAAGACTGTGATCCAGACAAAGAAACAGAACCTCCTAGCCAAGACAAGAAAGAAGCAACCTGTCTACAGCGCATCGTGTTCTACGTCCCTGATCTGACGGTGTTTATAGCGAACGTGACGTTCATCTTGTTGATATTCTCCCTGCCAGTCAGACTAAAAGAGTACACGGGCAAGTCTCTGAACACAGCGGTCCTGTTTACCACCCTCATCCCCACCTTCGGGTTCATTTCCAGTCTCATTGTCAGTTACTTCACCCTCCGCAAGCTTCCTGCTCTACTCGTTATTTTGGTGGGAACTGTTGTTTTCTTTGTTGGGGCCATTATAGCGTTCGGAGCTACAACAGAGTTCCTAGTGTTCCCAGGCTCGTATGAGTTAGGATCAGTGTTGGTGGGGCTGGGTGATGCTCCTGTAATAAACCTCATAGTGCTGAGCAAGTTTGTGTTATATGAAAAGTGGGGACTGGACACAAAGGGGCTGGGGGAACGGAGCAGTGCTGTGTTTAACCTCAGTATGTGTTTCTCACAAGTTGTTGGAACTGTCATGTCCGGTCTTACGATCAGTAGAGGTAGTGAGGTTCCCACACTGGTCGGGGCGGGGACTGCAGGCCTTTTTAATATTGTAGCTTTACTTCTCTGTCTTCTGGTTAAATGATGTGATCAGTAGCGTAATTGGAACGTCTTATGCTTTCAAGTAGTTTGTATCTTATTAGACATTGATATTGGTCTAGTTATATATTACTGTATACTATTTTATTGATCTGAGGTGTAGTATTGCCAGATCCCAGTTCAATTTATAACGGAGTTGTATATCAACAGGAAACGATGTAACAGAGTCAATATATTTTAATGTTGCCATGGGGTGGCAAGTCTCCATTCATCGTACTCCGATAGTTTACTGCATCCTATTATGTAAAGTCTTTACCAGCCAAATCTGATATTTTTAATTAATATTAAATAGCCTCAAAAGAAGTAGTTAAGAAAGGAGTTGGATACATACTAAGTCTACAGTAAAGCCCCGATTTACCGCCACTATTTCCTTTCCCCAAATAGGGCTACGTTATTTTATCGAGTCTATCCACCGTCAATTTGAAATTTGAATGTGTCAATTTTGTAAACCTAGGGTATTGAGTACACCACCACATTCCAGCTTAAAAGTTGGTGTAAAAATGGGGACCCGAACAGTAACATCACTAATATAGAGTGAACCCCCATTCTTCACCCAGCTCAACTGTTATTATTCAATGTTAATTTGCCCTAGATTTAGTGGATCAAATGTCAAATGTCCCTTCATTCACGCCTCAAAGGAATGTCAATGTGTGAATTCCCAAATATTTTCATTTTCAATGGCTCATATTTCTTTACTGTTCATTTGCACAGTTTAATTTTAAATCGTTAGCTGGTCCAAATTAAGTTTTGTCAATTTAATTAAATTGACAAAACTGGAATGCTGATTAGTCACTATATATCATTATAATAGTCTAGTATTATGTTCCTTGTCCGGGCTTACTTTAAGTCAGTCACGTGATTGATAGTCGAGTGTAGACTTTAGAGTGATTAATCGTCGTCCTTCGTTCCTAAGGTTTCTCAGACGGACAAATATTGCTGATTCGGTTGCTGAATTAATTATTAAGCTTGATTTCTGTCCCTGATCAATCATAAAAGTATCGCAATTTGGCTGCCTCTGCTGTTTATCATTATAATGTTTATTGTTTATGTAGAGGTATAACACTAACAGGAATGGGGCATTCAAAAATGGAAATATTTCAGATAATATCACATATTATGGGTATCGAAGAAAACTGGGAATCCTTCGTCAGCATGACTCATGCAAAGGCAGAATCGCATGGAAAAGTAGCGCAGTATTGGGACAGGATTCACAACATCTTGAGTATGGCTCTCATATTCCTATCTGCATTAACGACTCTGTCCGTGTTGCTCCCTATCACCCACTATGTCGGAGCTGCTCTGGGGGCGGTCACTACTCTTTTATCTGCTATCAACGGCTCTTTGAACCCTAGTACGAGAAGGCAAGAGCAGATGGAGGCTAGTAGGGGGTTTAGAGCCCTGATGTTGAAGATGGTGAGAGTTGAAACGGAGAGAAATTATGAGGAACTGTGGAAGGAATACAACAAAGAATTGCTTGGAGAACCTTTCCTTCCGACAAAATTCAAGGTAAAAGACAACACTGCATTCTCCATGTCACCCGAGTTCCAGATGGTGGTAGCCCAGAAGAAAGCTGATGTTGGAGAGTGTTTATCGAAGATAGACGATGGGGCCCCACCACCTATCTTCGATAAACACTCGGAGGCTAACTGTCTTGTCTATCAGTCACCTATGTCTGAGGAAATAGATCCGGAAGTGGAAGCTGACATTGAAGAATGATGATTACAGATTAATCACTCTACACTCGACTGTCACTTGACTTTTTAAACACGTTCTTTAGCTGGCCGTGAATGGGTATTCGAAATCCTAGCCCTCTAATGACTAATCTGATCCCAACCCTAACCCTAACCCAATCTTTAACAAAAGCATATGCTGAAACCCTAACTCTAACGAGAAATTATTATACGGTCATATGTATCGCCAGGGGAGCATTTTGACCCTATATCATGGGGTCATGGGGGTGATTCAGAATCAGCCTCCAAAAATACATCGATTCAGGTTGGTTTCAACTGTCGGGGGCCCTTTTACTTTTAGAAGTATCTCGAAGATCGACTGTAGAGTGATTAAGCACGTTCGGACATTGGACTTAAAACAATGTAATTTGAAGCATTTGGAACCCGTATAACCCTAAAATAGTGTCAAGACTCAAGAGACTAAATAATTATTACCAATTTAATTCGCGTTTTTGACACCACTTGGGGGTTCAAATTTTGGGCTCTAAAACTCCTATTCCTTAGCCAATTTTTTATTTTTTCATGCTGATTTGGAGGCCATTAAAGCATTTGACCCAGTCAAAAAAGTATCAGTTGTAGATCTTTTACGGTTTTTGCGGAAAGTCGCGTTAAAGTTGATGCCGTGGTGTCAGTAAAATGGTACGGATAAACACATCCATATATATCGTCTCGCTTTATATATAGTAAGATATTGTTATAAGATACATGTTTATTAAAATATGTAGTAAGATAGAAGAACACGGGGCTATTTAGACGAACCCCTTGATGAATGATGAAGATCAATTTCTGTATTTTATCGCCAGACTGTCCCGTCTGTCCCGTCCCCCGAAGTAAGGGTTCGAGCATATTTTGAGCCATATGTCACTTACCTGGGGACCTCAGGCTATTATGTTCATATAAACATAGAGATTCGGCGGAATGACTGGCTGAGCGCGGCCCAGTAATATGTCACGTGGTATACTGGTATGTGGTAGAGCCATGTATAAAATTATCATGTACGCATATGATCTACATTCTACATTCTACATTACCTATTTATAGTTTACACATTAGTCTTACCTGAGGACCCCAGGCTTTAATGTTGGTAAACAACATTAATACCGAATAGAGATTAGGCGGAATGACAGGCTGAGCGCGGCCCAGTAAACATTAGTCATGTTTACTTTGTTCATGTTGCAATATCAAAATGATTTGATGTCTTCATTTTTATGTTTCATGTTTATCGACAAAGTTTTATTTTTGTCAAGACTTACAACTTATATTATTCTAAAAACGAATTTTTAGTAGTCTAGTTAGGCTCTTATACGGGTAAAAAGACGTGTTTTCTCACTCATGAAAGAAAACTTTTCTGCTATGAGTTTGGAGACCTAACCATTAATTGGACACAATAGTATGATGTATATTGTGCAAGGATCAAGAATATGTTAAGAAATATAAATATGACCTTATTAGTCACGTGCTATACCAATGCGCGTTTTTGGTTTTAAACTTAGCTTTGACAGTCTATAATTGCTCTAACCAGAGCCCTCTTGCTTGCATAGCAGTAGCGCGAGACCACCGACTAGCGCGTCACGCAGTACGCGTAGACACATGGCTATGTGAAGTCTATAAGATTACATTGCTTTCTATTTGTTACCTGAGGACCCCAGGCTATTATGTTCATTAACAATTAACATAATACCGAATAAAGATTTGGCGGAATGACAGGCTGAGCGCGGCCCAGTAAGTAAGAGCCCCACCTTTTTGGATTTTTACCTGGGGAAATCCAGGAATAATACCTTAATTTTAATGCCATCGTGTGCAGCGCAGCTAGTTTTTGTCACTTGTGCAAATTTAGCTGTTACACCAACAAAATTAACTTGTTTAAAAGTTCAAAAAACATAATTTTTTGGCTTATTTTTGGCCGGGGAAACTTAGACTTATCATTTCAAAACCACTTGCACCTTTAATCGATTTTACGGTCAAAAATACGTTTGCATTTGGAAATATGTTTTATCACGTTGTGACCCCTTGTATCACGTGGTGACCCACACGGTCGCTTCACTATAGAGTTTTCACTGTAGAGTTTCGACGATACAGGGGGAGCCGCGCACTCGTGCGCCATGCGCGGCGGGTCATACAACGTATGACAAGTGACCCCCATCACCCATTGTCGTTAAATTTCACTAAGTGTAGCGTTTCTACGATACAGAGGGAGCCGCTCACTCGTGCGCGGCGGGTCATGCAACGTATGACAATTATTTCGCTCCAACTAAATCGTTTGTAGGTTTATAACCTACCAGGACGCGCGCCGAGTTGGACTCGTCGACGGTCCTAAATATTTGAATATTTGAATATTTGAATATTTGAATATTTGAATATTTGAATATTAATTGAATATTTGAATATTTGCAATTTGAATATTTGAATATTTGAATATTTGAATATTATATTTGAAACAAATATTTTACGAGTATCACCCGTTAACTAAATCGCTCGCCCAAATTTTAAGAAAATTCTTGCGAAAAGGCCCTTTAGGTATGAAATTGATCTAAATCGGTGTATTTTTGGACGGTGATTCGGAATCAGCCCCCATGATGCAAAGGGTAAAAATGCTTCCCTTGAGAGTTATTGCATCACTACACGTGATGACCCCCACTGTCGCTTCACTATAGTGAATGTCGATACAGGGGGAGCCGTGCACTTCGTGCGCGGTGGGTCATACAACGTATGACAAGAGAGTTATGGGCAAAAAACTGTTTTTGTCACGTGACAGGCTAGTAAAACATGAATTCGATTGTTTAGGGCTCGGGTTAGGGTTAGGGTTGTAGTAAGAGTTATGGTTAGGGTTCGGGGTTATGGTTAGGGTTCGGGTTGGGATTTAGGGTTTATGTAAAACCATATTGTACGGCTGCAAAATCATAAAAACCAAAGTCACGTGAAATTTTTGGGCGAGCGAATTAGTAAGAGCCCAATTATTTATGTGCCCAATTATTTGTTAGGTTGCCCATGTCAAACTTGTATTTTGTAGTATAAAGGTACATTCAACATTTCCCCCGTATTACTTCGTTGTTTACTTCTACTCTATATCTTATGCAATTAAAAACCAATCATAATGATGATAATGATATTATACCGATATATAGATATATTTAATTTTTACCCACAGTGAAAGACTTAGGACTTGTCATGTCATGTCATACGTTGTATGACCTGCCGCGCACGAGTGCGCGGCTACCCCTTTATCGTAGAAACTTTACAGGGGTTCCACTATAGTGAAACGACAATGGGGGTCACTACGTGATACAACTTAGGACAGCGTTCATCACGACTTTTACGGCGCACAGTCGTCCTGTGCATGCACATTGAATCGACGATAGAAATCGAGCGCTATACGCATTATTATTAGCTTATTCGCTGTTATCACTCAGGTTGATAACAAATACGTTCTGTTTTGTTATTGCAGAACGTTTGTCATGATCCTATAAATACTATTTAAAACGCTTAACTTAGATTGCTTTTAAGTTCATATAATAGAGTGTGTTGCAATAA